AGACCGACTGTAGCATTTAAAATGGGATTAACATTTCCCTCGGTTTTCCACTCCTGACTGTGTAAAAGGTTCTCCTGGAACAGCTGAGCCGGCTTGCCTTATGGAGAATTAAAGAGCACCACGCATGCACGCACACATAAGCAGCCATTTCTATAAATGCCCGAGAAAAATCACTCAGCTGAATGGTTCAGAACTCCAGGAATCTTTTTTTCTAAGACAGAAAGACTCTGGTAGCTCCCACAGAAACCCTGCAGGCCTCCCCGGCCGCCCAACCAGGCAGCTCCCTGAAGGAGAAAGTGCCTTTGCTCAAGGTGGCAGTGAGTGTCATTGTGAGCCACTGAACTCGGGGAACATGGCTGACAAGGCCAGGCCCGCCCAACAGCTGCTGGTGAGTAACACCCTCGGGTTAATACACCCTTGCTTCACCCCGGGGGAGTCACGCTAAAGGTCACATCCCCCCCATTCGGGCACACATCTGCCTCCCGACGGCCTTACAGATATAAACTTCCAGCTCTGCTGTTTGAGGGCAGCTTTAGATGACACCCCCAAACAGAACCTGATTGTGCATTAACCACGCAGGGAACTCCATTGCAGTTCTGGGCCAGCAGGCGCCTCCACAAGAAGCACCCTCCAAAGGAAATAAAATCCGAAATGCAGTTATGTGGCCTTGCTTTTCAAAAGCAAAACCAAACCAACCAATGATCATTTTAAAACCACAGGCCCAGGGCCTCATCTTTAAAGTACCAACAATCACACCCCAAAAAGACAATAGTTGGCTAAGGAACTCCAACGGCCTCTTCAATATGGTGTCAGAGGGTCGAAGGAAAAGAAGTTGCATGAAAGGATCAGGTCCTGTGCTTCCTTATCAGAATAGCAGTTGTAGAAGAGCCTTACTAAAGATGGTGAGATAGCATGGCCCAGCCCTTTCCAACTTTTTCTCAGTTATGTTAAACAGAACCAGCAGAATTGGCTGACCAAGGTCTCTGTAAGCCTCCAAAGCCCGTTTTTATACTGCATATGTCTTCCTGGCCACATTCCTTGGGCCAGCGCCGGCCTTTTGGTCTCCCTGGGAGAGACCCTTCCAGGAGGCCTCCAGGCCCACGTTCTCTACCAAGCCTTGACCTCAGGCAAGGACCACACCTCCCCGCTAACTATTCAGGGTAGAGGGTGCCACCAATCATGTGTGTGTGTGTGGGGGGGGGAATCAGCCTTGGAATCTCATTAAAAAGGCTAACTAGTCATGAAGTTAACCCACCAACCATCACTTGATCAAATTCCTCTGCCGCCCGAAGCAGTGTTATTTTAAACCTCCCTGGGGACTCTTGGCCAAATTTAAAACCACCTTGGCAAGCCCTGAAAAGTAGCAAGCATACAGCTAAATGAGTCCTTAGTCATCCTTAAAAGGTTGCACGTGAAGTGTGCCGCTTCTCCCCAGGTTTTGGCCATTTCGCTGCAATCCCTCAAGAGAATCAAATAAAAGATACGCCATCTGACCTCCCCAGTGCAGCACCTGCCCAGGTGGGGTGGCCCCACGGTCGCGGGGTGCGGGAGTCCTGGGGGCGGGGCGGGCCGGGGTGGGGGGGTGCAGCACCACTCCCCGCGCAGCCACGCACAGGGGCTGGCACTCCGCGCTCACTCTGCCTGCCAGGTTCATGCTCTCCATGGCTTCTAGAGACTGAGACAATTAAGGCGAGACGGAGCTTTCCGTCTCTACACGGCTCAATCATTTAAAGAGTTAAAACAGCATCTTATCCAAAATGTTGGCACCCTTGAGGCCGAGCGTGGTGTCCTTAACGCCCAGAAAGACTGCCCGGCCAAAGGTTAACTAACCCCAGAGCTCGGTGGGAGAGGGAGACGCCGCTAACCTGTATGCACTCTGTAATGGGCTTTGAGATGGGAGGATTTTCCATAGACTTTCCCACAGCCACTGTAGGGGCACTTGTGCCTCTTTTCGGAGGCGTGTTTCCCCTTCGCAGCCACTCCAGGGTGGAGGAGGGAGAGCGGGCTGGGCGCGCTGCCAGGATCCTGTCTCTCCTCCGGGCTGTGAGAAGGACTCGACCCAGATTCGGTGGTCACGTCGCTGTCGGATCCCATATCCTCATCCGGACTCTCCAGACTGTCGCTGCACACCGAGGGGGTCTGGATGGGTCGGTACTTGTTCAGGTCCAACAAGCTCTTGGCGATGGTGACCAGAGTGCAGTAATCCTTCCAGGTGTCCCCCGGGTCACCGTGCTCCTTGGTCACCTCGCGCTCAGGTAGTCGCAGTCGCTCGGCGTCCGGAGCGCCCCCATGCTCCGGCACCGCAGCGCGGTTCGAAATAGAAACCAGACACTGGGCAGCCACGAAGTCCATGTAGGCGGCCGCGGACATGGTGCGGGCGACAGCAGCCCCGGCGGCGCGGCCAAACTTGGCGGTGGCTGCGGTGGTTCGGCTCGCCCTGCCCTGGCCTCGGACGACGAGCGCGGCGCGGCGCGGCGGCCAAGGGGGCGGGGGCGCGGGGCGCTTCCGACTCGCAGGAGCGCGAGGCGACCTCAGCCCCTCATCTTTACGTAACCGGCAGCGCCTCCGCACGCAGCATCCACGGCCCCGGGCTCCGCCGCGCTGCCGCCGCTCGCCGCCGCCCGCGCCCGGCGCCCGGCGCGATCCCCCCGACGGGCGCGCCGGCCGCTCCAAGCCGGCTCCCTTGGAAAGACGCCACACGTGGCGGCCGCAAGTTTATTCGCTTGAAAACGCCCCCGAGGCGCTGGGAGAGGAAACTGCAAGAGAGGTACACGCCCTCGGCCGCCTCTCCGTCGAGCCAAAGCCCCAGGACATTCACCCGACCACCCTGACGCGGGTGGCGAGGGCCGGACCGAGCGCCAGGTCTAAGAGACACTTTTCCCCCAGTCCACCGACGCCTTCTGAGCCCCTGCTTTTGCCGGTCCGCACCGTTCCGGCATTCTCTTGCTCAGTAACAATTTCGCAGAATCCCATCACGTCACAATCCAAACCCCCTCTAATTGGCCAGTGGGGAGGGTGATTCAACTCTGTTTACTTTCTCCCCCTGCCAGTCAGAACGGCCTTTCGGTGGAGAGGTGCGTCTAGAACTGAGGCGTGCGGCCAATCCGACTGTTCCGTTTCGCTGCCTCGTGCTACCCCTACAGCCTCGAACGCTGACATTTAAAAGGGTAACAGCCGGGAGCCTGGAAGGGAGCCGCGGCTCATCCTCGGGAGCGCCTCTCGGTCCGTTAGCCGCTCCAGGTCTCCTGGCTCGCGTTCCCGCCCGCGGAGCCGTGGAGACACACCTTCCCCGGTCACTTGCGCTCGTTCTCGTGACAAAAGAAAACTTCAGATTCGGTTTTCCAGCTTGCAAACAGTTAAGTGACTTCCTGCAAACGCTAGAGTCCCAGCAACCAGCCTTCCAATCAAAAGTAAGTTGGTTGATGTCACTGACATTGGCCCAGCCAATCAGAAGGGCGTTCCGAAAGCAAGCGCTCCACATTTGTAAACGCCAAGAGCTGTAGTGAAACTGGACACATCCTTGTGTTTTATGTGGCTGGTAGTAAAAGTGAGATATGTATGGAAGGGCAGGGGTGATGAGTAAATAAAATGCGAGTCAATACTTTAAGAAAAAAAAAAACCTAAACTGAATATGTCAGGCCAAGTTGCCCAAGAATAAACACAAATGAGAAAGCATCATTTCATTTTTTTTTTTTTTTTTTTAGTTTGGGGATGCAGCATACTTCGGGGCAGATTTTTAATAATCCTTCTATCTAGCGCATTGACTATGACTAATTCATCTGAAAAATGTAGAGCTGATAAAAGTTCCTATTAAACCAGACTTTTTTAATGGCTCACTATTCCTACACGGAAACACCCCATCTTTGCTTCTGTGATGCCTTTTCATTCCTCTCCTTCCCTAGTGCAATTTATTCTAGGCAAGTTATTTTAGTTCTGTTTTGAAGCTACTGTAACCCACCGTCAATGAACTGGAGACAAAAATTTGTATGATTTATTTTTTTACACTTTAACAATTTTTATTTATTTTTATTTTTTTAAAGGTTTTATTTATTTATTTGACACAAAGAGACAGCGAGAGAGGGAGCACAAGCAGGGGGAGTGGGAGAGGGAGAAGCAGCCTTCCCGCTGAGCAGGGAGCTGGATGCGGGGGCTCAATCCCAGGACGCTGGAATCATGACCTGAGCCGAAGGCAGATGCTTAACCAACTGAGCCACCCAGGCGCCCCAACAAACATAATTTTTTAAAAAGAGAGAATGACTGATAAAAGGTTTAATTCTTCTGGAAGATGTAACATTTCAGAATATGCATATGCATATTAACCGGCACAAATATATAAAGCAAACACTCATGAAAATAACAAACGCAAAATTTGTATGATTTTTTTAAAAGACACCATTTTCTTTCCATCGACCCCCTGGATGGATTTCAGGGCTTGTTTCTCTTCCCTTATTTTACAGATGTGAAGACTGAGACACACAGATGTGACTTGTCTATCTTATCAGGTAGACAGTGACAGAGCTCAATTCAAACCATAAATCTATTGATTCCAAGCCCTTTGGGCTTTACAACAACCGAACTCTTCGATTTTGTGAAATATTAACTGTGCTAAACAGATTCTTAAGAACTGGAACAAGCCAGAGATCCTTAGCTTTTGAATATTGTGGCATTACTTGATCAATGATTAGCATGGGTCTTGGAGTCTGATTACCTCAGTTTGCCTCTCCCTCTGAATGAATGATGGGTTGTTTTCCATCATGATAGCTGAGAAAAGAATCTAGGGCTAATGTCTCTTACAGGAGGCGAACGGTGGACACAATTGGTTAAAAATACATTGATTTTCCTAATTGGGTGTGAGAGGTACCTACCTCTATATGATGCAGACCTGCTGAGGTCCAGCCATGGCCCCCACTGGCTGTTAGCCTTTGGTTAAGGTTTGGGAAAGTTACACCAATTTCCTGGTCTTTAGAGAGGTCTTTAGAGTTCCATGTGAGCCCTCCCAGTTTGAAGGCCAGTATAGTTTATTTTGACTTTGCTTTTGAAGGGGTACAGGAAGCTATCGCAGTAGGTTGACTATATGGAAAAGCGAAGTATGGAAAAGGGGTGGCGGTCAACTGAGAATATTATCATCACCATCACGGTAAAGTAGGTACATCATGGTATGTAAAAGTGAAGCCGCTTAAAGTTCTTGTATTTCCAATCCCCTTAATTTTAGAAAAGAATTCACTGAAGCGCAGGGGAGTTTGCCTACTTCATAATTTTTCTGGGACAACCTCTGTCCCCAAGGATACATGATCATTTAGAAATTGCACCTTTGCTTGCTTCTTTAAGGTCCAGCACAAATACCAATGGGATCTCTCCAGGGTCTCTATGATCACCTCCTGCACAGTCTCTTGAACTTGCATTGCAACAGGCATTGCACGGGGCACCTCCAGATTGCCCTAGAGTTAATTAACATTGAGGTTATTCTAGAAAAGAAGGGAAGTCTATCTTTCCTTGGACATTGTAATCCAGGAACTTGAATGAATCAATCATCATAGGTTTTTTGAAAAATATAAACTTTCCCCTCCCTTGCTTCTTGCCCTCTTCTAATTACCTTTAATTTAATTTTGTTTGGACTGGACATAAACCCTGAATTCTTCCAACTCATTCATTTCACAGTTATAGAAGAAAGTAATAAAAGAAAACTGAGATTTCGCGCACACGAGTTTCTCTCACATATTTATAAATGTATCTGCTGCTTGACTTGATTTAGAATAGCTTTTTAAACCCAGAAATTCTAAAATTATAGAATACCTTCCCCTTTATCTCTTTTTCCACTCATTCCTTCTCTAGATACTTCTGTTTCAGTCAGGGAGTTAGGCATGGGGGAGTACAGAAATGAAAAGACAGTCTATCCTCCATGAGATTTATATGTTAAAAACAAATTATATATACCACAAAACATATATCACAAGTAATAATTGCTACATCAGGATTTTGTGTGTGTGTGTGTAACAACAAGCTCCCCTTGCTCTGTTGGGATGTGTGTTATAATAGTTCTTTGATTAAAATCAGCTTACACTGTTTTGCCAGCATGTAGTTGTCCCAATTAAATTCTGGCAAAGTAAATTGTCCCAAATTAATAGGAATCATTCCTAATTACAATGAATAATTTACCAGTAAAGTATATATTATGCCACATAAATATGAGAGGTCTGTTTTCCCCCAGTGTAGTCTTTGTAAATACACATTTCAAATCAACACAAACCAACTGGGAGGAGCATGGGATTTCAGACTGTAACTGTGCTTCTAGATTATGTGTTTTCATCTCTAAATTCTGTCTAAGGCTTGGCTTTATTATCCAAGTTCTCAAGAACAACCGTTTATGGGCCTGTAGCCAGAAGTCTTATTTTCTGTGCATCCTAAAATAATTATCATTATCACCTCTAGAAGAGGTAGTGCCTACCCTGAGCTGATTCTTTGAGCATGTGCTTAGACCAGCTTGGGGCAGAGAAGGGGCCTCCCGGGCCTGAGATGAGCAGCATGACCCTAGGCAACCTCTTAGAGTTATTTCCTCATCTGTGAATTAAGGGCATTAGATGAATACATCTCCCTAGTCCCTTACAAACTCCAAATACACTTGGGATTTCCCCCCAACCCCCCCCCCCCAAAATCATAGGGAAAAAAACTGAGCAAGACTTGGGTTCTTTAAACACCATCTCATCTGCTGTGCATCTACAAACAGGTCTTTATGGCAATGAAGGTCAGAATGTCTTAAATCAATATCTAATGGGATAGCAGGCACAATATAAACTTGTCCGGAATCCCTTAAATCCTTTCCTCCTTAATTTCATGGTCTTGCTTTTTCTCTCTTCAAGCTAGCTTGTGCAGATTTTCCACCCTAGCCGCAGCAGAGGTATCTCCAGGCGAAGGCAGCCCATTCCCAGTCCCCTTCCCTGGAGATTTTAATCCAAACTGAACCCTGCGCAGAGTTTCCCCAACTCTGGGTGGAGCTTACCACCTGGGGCTTAATCTAAAATACTTATTGCCCAGTCTCATCTTTGCCCAAGACCCGGAGAGGTTTAGATTAGAACTCTGGCTTTTCTCACTCTTTCCTGCTGGGAGGCGTGGACGGTGCTGGGCAGAGCTGCCAGCTTCCAGGCGGGAAGGAAGGAGGAGAACAGATGGCCCGCTGGGGGTAGGGGATCACGTGTCGGACCTCACTCTGGGCTGGATCCAGACTTCCTTCAGGACCCAGGTCCTTTGGCTTCAGCGCGTCCACCTAGGCACACGGCATATATCTGGGGGAAAAGTAGCGTTCACTTTAGTGAGAGCTGGGGAATTAGGGGAAAGTGGTGAGTTTGGGGAGGAGGAGGAGGCGGGCCGAAGGGATCGGGGCTCCCAGCAAAGGCAGTGTTCTGGATTTGAAATACAATCAGGTAAAGACCTATCTGCCAGAACGCCCGTGGCCGTAACGTCAGTTAACACGCAGGGGCTGGGGGGAGGGGGGGCCTCCGGCCCGCGCGAAAACTTGCACAACGCCCTACTTCGCTCTCGCTGCACTTAGCAGCCTTCCGCAAAAACTCCAGGCCTCTCCTTTGCCGAGCAGAAAGGCCACACGTTCATACATATGCAGGAGGATAAGTTTAGCTAGCAGCCCCCCGCGCGCGGAGAGGCCCTGCGCGGCGCACCGTGCATCACCCGCGCTCGGGGGCGGGCGCTCGGCTCCCGCAGCCGACTGGCGGGCGGCGCGCCCCGGCCTGGCATCGCCCTTTTAAAAAGTCTTCCGCAGGCGGCCGCCGCAGCAGCAGCCGGAGGAGCCGAGTTCATCTGAGGACAGCCCCAGTTCTCAGAAATCCCTTCCCTGCTGGAACATCAAGCTCCCTTTACTGCAGTTGAACAAACTGCCCTAGATTGGGGGATGAGGAACCCGCCCCAAACTCGTGCAAGGAGCTCCGGGCGCCCGCGCCCACGTGAGCTAACCTTGAAATTAGCCCCCGCACCCCGGCGGGAGGTGGGGAAGGCTGGCGGGGGTGAGAGTGGGCGGGGGCCGGCTGTTGGCCCCTCGAGGCCCAAGCCCTAGGGTTTGCGTCCTCCGCTGGCGTGTACCGCCCCCACCACCCTGTTTCATAACTCTATCGAGTTGCATTTTTTTTTCTTTTTAACTCCTCGGAGTAGCATAGGGGTGTGTGCGTGTGTGTGTGTGTGTTGGCGGGGGTTGGGGAGTGGATAGAGGCACCTTCCCCATCCCCCGCGCCCGCGAAGAGGAGGAAAACCTGCCCTGCGGTCTCCCCTGGGATCACTGCGGAGTAGGGTGTCGGGATGACATCAGCTTCTAAACATAGCCCGCACCGCACCCCAACTCTTAGCGCTGCGAGCAAGGCTGGGGCGGGAGCAAGGGGAGCGCAGGGAGGCGGGTGCTGCTGTCCGCGGGGGCGGGCCGGCCGGCCGGGCCGTGCGGGAGGAGATGACTTTGCAGGAATCCTGCTCGCAGGAGTTTGCAGGCAATCTCGCCTGCGATGGTCGGGCCATGGGGTTAGGAAACGTTCCTGCCATTCCGCGCTCTCTCCTGCCCCACAAAAGCTACAGACACACGTGCGCACGCACGCGGCCCTGGGATCTAAGGTGTCTTTATTTATATAAATCAACCCAACCCCCAGCCGTAGCGCCCCGGGTGGGTCGGCCGGGGGCATCCACACCCTCCAGCCTCGCGCTTGCCCCGGGGCTACGCCCGCGAGGGGGTCGGCGCGGCCCTCCCGGTGAGTCAGATGGGCTGTGTTTCCTGTGGTTGTTGTGGAACAGTTTGTCCTTTTTACCAACCCCCCCCCCGCCCGGTCTCCACCCCCTTGGTAAATATAGCGCTCACGTTTCATCATCTCTTTGTCCAACGAGCGCCAGACACCCCGGCCCGCGGCCCCCGCCGCCTCCCTCCTCCTCCCGGCTCGCGGTTACCTCGCATAACCCCGCGCGGGCAGGCGGCGGGCAGCAGCTTGCCCCGCGGCCCCCGCCAGCCCGGCACCCCATCGCTTCCCGGGGTGGTACACTCCCACCCCCCCCCTCACGTCCCCACCCCTGCTGCCAATTCCCGCTCAAGCTGTGCCCCCAAGCCGCCGTCCCACCCCTCTGGCCCGCTGTCCTGGGGACCGGGTCAGGATCTGCGTAGGTGCTGGGAGGTAGACACCCCTTCTTCCCAGCCCCAGGCGTCACCCCGCGCTCTGGCCAGTACTGGGTCCTCCACTTACCCAACCTCCCCTCTCCCAAGGCCGCCCCCTGTTCCCCTCCTGAGCGCAGGTGACGAGCTGCTGAGACAGTGTCTGATTCACAGACAGCTAAAGCAGCGACGCGTACTTGGGGGTGGGCGCTTCATGAACATCTCCTTCCCACCCGCTCACCCCAGAGGGGAGTGGGCTGGAGGGGCGGGAAAAGCGAGGTGGGTGGATAACAGCCGAGAAGTGCGTGCTTACCCTTCCCTCTCTCCCTTCCCCTCCCTGTTTCATTTGCACACATACAGCCACCCACCGGGGACCGGAGGCGGCTGGTGTTCTCTGAACGCAGGGAACTGGCTCTCTCTGTGGTCTCCTGTTTACTTCCCTCCTCCTCTTCCCCACCCTCCTCCTCGCCCCCACCACCCCACGCTGCCTCCCGCCCCCGAGCAGCTGGGAAACCTGCCGCAAAACACTGCAGTCATGAGATTTCCCTGGACCCGAGCTGTGGCCTGGGTTTGCCCCGCCCTGCCCTGCCTTGCCCTGCCCTGCCTTGCCCTGCCTTGCCCTGTGTCCACTTGGGGCACTTGGTCCTGGAAAGAAAGGCTCTTGGGGCTCCCCAACCAGGAACGTGGGAGAGGTGACAGCCTCCCCCCTCGCTCCCTTTTCCTCTCTCCTCCCCCCCCCCCCTTGGCACCAGATACCATCCTGTGGGGGCCCTGCCTGGCTGCCTTTTTGGCCAGGGCTCTGGGCCACCCCCATGAGCGGCCACCTGTCTGGGGAGGGGTAGTGAGAGAACGGGCAGTGTGTAAGGACTCTGTATCCAGAATGCTGCGGGGCTGGCTTATTTGCCATCACAGCCTGTTGTGCTCGTGCCAGGGTGCCCGAAGTTCCCTGCCGACCAAGGTTTTCAGGCAGAGCCCCCAAAACCTGCTCCCAGGGACACACCCTCTCCTTATGGAGTCTGGCAAAACCTTCCCTTGCAAAGCTTGCTTCCCAGCAGGGAAGAATTCAGCCTCTCTTCCTAAGTAAGCTGAATGAACAAAGAGCTCTGAGGAGGCCTTGAGGGTGAGCTCTGGGGGCTGCCTGCCTGAAGTTCACCCCCATTTAAAAACCACCTCTTCACCATAGCTCTCAGCTCCACTACCATGGTTACCAGCTCCCTGTCCTTCGGCAGCACAAACGTTGCACAGAGGCGGAAACAAACAGGGGCATTTTAAGTGTTCTTTTAAGTCTCCCAAACACAGCCGTGGTATTTGGGTAGTGGAGAAGAGAGAACGAAAGTCCTGACAGTTCCCTGGTTGCCTTCTGACCCCATGACCCTGAATCAATCCCTCACCCTAATTGGCCTTTCAGCTGTCAGAGGAGGGAAAGGAGCCGATTGAGCTACTAGAGAGTGGAATTCAGAACAGAACAGGTCCACCCACGCTGGTGAATCTTACTCAAGTCAGACTCTTCTCCCCTCTCTACCCAGCCTTAACCCCCCAGCTGCTGGGACTGCACCCCCAGCAGATTACACCACCCCCTTCTGCAGCGTCTCTTGTGGATTCCCTCTCCTTCCCGGAGATTCTAGCACCTGCCTCAGAGTCCTCCACTTCCATCCCACCCCTGTTAATGTTTTCGGGGAATTTAGCAGCCTTGCGGAATAATGACCTATCTGGAACCCCAATCCCTACACTGCAACCCTTCCCCCCCCCCACCTTGGACCTTTGTCGTGTGGATACCTTGGACCTTTTTTACCCTCTAAATAACAGCACTGCCTCTGCTCTTTTCATCTCAAGCCATCCTGTGCCTGACCAACACGTCTCTCCCTTCCACCTTATTTTTTCTAATAACCCCACTTGAACCATTCTTTGACCTTATTTTGACCTTCAATCTACTTTTTCACTGTTCATCGGTGCCCTTATAGTCTCACATCCCTCCTATCCAGCTTAGATTTCATGGTCTCTGTCTATCACTATATCATCCATACACCCCTCCCTGTCTTCTTCCTGGGACCACTCACCGGGCAAAACCCTGATTCTGTCCAGCTTCGCACCCTGGACAAAACCAACAGTGCTGTCGCCACTGACTTTACGATCATAAATCTCAAGTGGGCTCTCAACACTGCCCTTCTGCCTTTCCCTACTCTGTTCACTCTCTCACACTGAATGACCCTGCACCTTCTGTCCCCAACTATCCCACACCTCTCCCCTTCCTCGCTCTGAGCTGAAAATCTCGCTGCTTAATCTCTGACAAAATAAAAGCCATTTCACAAGAACTGCCTCATCTTCCCAGCACCAGAGCTTCCACCCCACCCGCCTCTCTGCCCTGACTCTGCCTTCCTTCCTGTCACACAGAGGTAGTATCCCTGCCCTTATCTAAAGCAGACCCTTCCACTTGGAACCACCGTCCCTCTCTGTTTCGATTATTAATGACTCCTTCTGGAATTATCCCCTCATCTCCTGCTCATCCGTTGTCCCCCTCTCCTAAATAATTTCATGTGGACCCCAAAACATGGTGCACTCCCTCCTTTTTTTTTACGAGAGAGAGAGAGTATCCATGCCCAAGCAGCAGGGGGGGGGGGCAGAGGGAGAGAGAGAATCTTAAAGCTGGCTTCATGCTCAGCACAGAGTGCAATGTGGGGCGTGATCTCATGACCCTGCGACCACGACCTGAGTCGAAATCAGGAGTCCAACGCCTAACCGACTGAGGTTCCCAGGTGCCCCTTCCTTTCTTATTATGTCTTTGTACGTATCTCCTTAGCCCCAAATTCCCCTCCATTATTACTCCTTTTGCCACTTTCTCTTGGCTGCAAACGTCTCAAAGTTGCCTGCGTGTCTACACCTCCTATTCTCTCTTGATCTCATGCCAATCTGACTTTCACTATCCTTTTGCCACCAAAACTGCTATTGTCAAGGTCACAAAGGAGCTCCATTCTCCCATATCCATTGGCTAGGCATTTCATTTCCTGCAAATTAAAGCAAAGAAGACTAAGGAGTGGGCAGTAAAGTAAGAGGAAAGTAGAAAAAATATGCCATCTTAGAAGCAAAGGGAAGACATTGTTTCGGGGAAAAGAGTTTAATTCTTCATCTCCTTTGCTGGTTTCAGGTCTCCTGACCTTTGGATCTTTTCCACACCTACACTCGCTCTCTCGGCGATGTAATCCTTACCTTCTAGCTGCCAATGACTCTCAAAATTTTTTTAGGATTTTATTTGTTGATTTTTGAGAGAGAAAGAGCAAGCACATGAGCTGGGGGGAAGGGGCAGAGGGAGAAGCAGACTCCCCGCTGAGCAGGGAACCTGATGCAGGGACTCAATCCCAGGACCCTGGGATCAAGACCTGAGCCAAAGGCAGATGCTTAACCCACTGAGCCACCCAGGCGCCCCTGCCTTTCAAATTTTTATCTTCAGTCTAGACCTCACTCCTGAATTCCACACCTGACTATCCAACTGTCTATTCATCATTTCCACTTGAATATCCAGCAGGCATCTCAAACTTAGCATATTCAAACGGAACTATTGGCTCCCCACAATGGCTCCATACAAAGCCCTCCCATCTTTGTTAAAGGCATTGCTGTGCTTCCGGTTGCTCAGGCCAGACACCGAGGAGTTATCCTTCATTCTGCTCTTTAATCTATACCCCACAGCTAAGCCATCAGGAATCCCGTCAGCTGTATTTTCCAAATATATGCAGAACCTGGCACTTGTCACTTTCACAACCACCTTCGTCTCTTGGGCTGCTAACTGCTGTAGCCTTCCAGCTGCTCTCCGAGCTCCCGCCGAGCCCTGGCTTCTTTTTTTTCTCAACACGACTGCCAGAGTGCTCTCCTTGACACCCATGTCAGGTCACATCACTCCTCTGCTCAGACCTCTGCAGTGCTCCCCATCTCACTTGGAGTAACTATCCAAGTCCTTATCCATGCTCCTTCTACCTGGAACCTCTTCTCCAAGAGGGCTCTGCCTGCGGCGCCTGGGTGGCTCAGTCGGTTGAGCGTCTGCCTTTGGCTCAGGTCATGATCCTGGGGTTCTGGGATGGAGCCCTGTGTTGGGCTCCCTGCTCAGCGGGGAGCCTGCTTCTCCCTCTCCCTCTCCCCCATCCCCACGGCTCGTGCTCTCTCTCTCAAATGAATAAATAAAATCTATAAAAAAAAAAAGGGGGGGTCTGCTTGGCTCACTCCCTCACCCTCTTCAGGTCTTTGTTCCCCTGTCTCCTTCTAAAAGTGGTCTACCTACCCTGGCTGTTCTATTTAGAGAACTGTGATTGCTCATTCCTATGTTTTCTTTTTTTCCTGTGGCACTTATATTCTGACGTGCTACACAGTCTGCTTCCTTCTGACCTTTGTTGTTTATTGTCTGTCTCCTGCTAAATACAAACTGGTTTGTTGGCCCTTGTATTTTCTTTTTATTATTTTTTATTTTTTGGCTGACGTAGTCTTCATGCCTAGAACAGTGCCTGGCAGGTAATAAACTTTCAGTAAAATTTGCTGAGTGTTGAGTAAACAGGGGATCAACAGCTATAGTTTTTTTTTTTTTTTTTTTTTTTTTTTTTGAATGCTGGCTATGTGCCGGGCACTCCAACATGCACTGTGTGGTCTTGGCACTCCTGGATGATAGATGAAGAGATTAAGGTTTAGAGATGGCAAATGACAAAGCCAAGTTCCCACCGTAGCCAAGCTTGGATTTGAGCTCAGGACTCCTGAGTCCAGAGTTCCTGTTCCTAAGCTCTCCATTATCGTGCACCGCCAATAAGCAAAAGCTGTGGCTGCAGTCCAGCTGTGGAGAAGCACGTTGGCTTGTGACATCTCCAGAGGTCACCTCTGTGTAGGGAAGCAAGATGGGTCCCCCAGGTCCCTTCCCCTACTCCAGACTCATGCTGAAGAAGAGGTGAGGGTGATGGGCAAGGGCATGACTGTGTATTTGGCTTGCCCTAGAGTATTTTGGCTACTTGTGAAAATGTTGGGCATATTTGTAGGCAAGAGCGTGCTGCAATAGATTTGTTTCTTGCTCACAATACATTTTAAACAAGGATTGGTTGGGGTCTCTATTAATTTAAGACCCAGGTTGATGGAATAGGCACCATTTGGAACATTCAAGTCACAATTTCTACTTACATCTCCTATGTCACGTTCCCAGCCATAAGGAGAACAGAAAGCAAAATCTTTCTAGGTGCCCAGAAGGCCAAGAGCTAGAAATATTTCTTGGGTCTATGTCCAGTATGACTGAGTAAGCTTTTATTGGACCAATCCTCTTAGAGATGACAGTGATAAACTCTGGACAAAAATGTAAAAAACAATTACGCGAGGTCCCTGGAGAGTGAACAAAAGCAGGCAGATAGTGGAAAGGAGTTGGCATATGGAAGGCA